CCAGAACTTTTACTTAATATTCAAAAAATATTATGAAAATGGTTCTGTTAGTCATTCTTATTTAGAGATTTGAAGTCAGAGTTTTCTAAGAAGCAAGTGTCTTACCTAAATGTAGTCAACAGGAGGTGAAGCCAGGAATTAAGCTCTGGTTTCTCTGATTACATAGTTTTTTCATTCTTAACAACTATTCTAAATTGTAGACTCTATGTTTTCAGAAATATTAAATGATTTAATAATAGATATTTGATGCCACTTAAATGTCCTTTTAATATGTGGCATAATTTTTGTAATAACCATAAAAGAGGACATATATCTCCTTCAATATCATCTTTCTTTGGAAGGACAGTCTATATTCGTATATGTGTAAGGCAGAGATTTCAGTTAGACCAAGTCCAGGAGGGATCTTATTGAACTTGGAAAACCTGAGTCATGGTTGCATAGAAACAAGGTGATTCAGCATCATTTTGTAAAACATATGACTCACTTTGAAAATATAAAGATTCTCAAAAGAGACCAAAACACTTACAGGCTCTAGCTGAGTTATTTTTGAGCACGTAATCTATATGTATTCATTCTCTTAATCTTTATACTTCAGAGAGAAAAGAATGTGCTTGTTGCTTGGCAACATTTTACATAGTGTTCAGCCCTAGGGTAAAATTTCACTTCCACTACACCAAGTTCCCAGATTCCAAGAAGGAGGTTTTGAGTCTTCCTTGTTTTTCAATAAATTCCCTGGCCCTCAGCTATTTTATTATTTAAATATGATTAAGATAGAATAGATAACCCAGAAATAAATCCATGCCTATATGGTCATTTAACCTACAACAAAGGAGGCAAGAATATACAATGGGATAGAGACAGTCTCTTCAACAAATGGTGTTGAGAAAACTGGACAGATACATGCCAAAAAATAAAACTGGATCACCTTCTTACAACATATACAAGGATAACTCAAAATGGATTAAACACTTACATGTAAGACCTGAAACCAAGAAAACATAGATAGTAAACTCTCTGATACTGCTATTAGTAATTTTTTTCTGATATATCTACTTGGACAAGAGAAACAAAAGAAAAACATAAACAAATGGGACTACATCAAACTAAATGGTTTTTGCACAGCAAAGGAAACCATCAACAAAATGAAAAGAAAACTTACTGAATGGGAGAAGATATTTGACAAGGGGTTAAATCCAAAATTTATAAAGAACTCATACAACTCAACAAGAAAAAATAACTAATACAATTAAAAAATAGACAGAAGAGCTGAATAGGTATTTCTCCAAAAAGGACATATAGATGGCCAATAAACATATGAAAAGATGCTCAAGGTCACAATTGATCAGAGAAATACAAATGAAAACCACAATGAAATATCACCTCATGCTTGTCAGATTGGCTATCAGCAAAAAATCAAAAAACGAGAAATGTTGGCTAGGATGTGCAGAAAAGGGAAAAATTATACAGCCACTATGGAAAAAAGTATGGAGGTTCTTCAAAAAATTGAAAAAAAAAAAACAACTACCTTTTGAGCCAGTAATTCCATTTTGGGGTATTTATCCAAAGAAAACCAAAATACTAGTTTATAAAGATCTATACACCCCTATGTTCACAGCAGCACTATTCACAATAGCCAAGATAGGAAGTAACCTAAGTGCCCATCTATAGACGATTGAATAAAAAAGTTATGGTACATATATACAATGGAATATTATTCAGCTATTAAAAAAATGAAAGCTTACCATTTGCAATGACATGCATGAACCTAGACAATATTATGCTAAGTGAAATAAATCAGACAGAGAAAGACTTTTTGATTTCACTTATAAAAGGAATCTAAGGAACAAAAGAAAAGAACAAACTGAATGAAGACAGACTCATAAATACAGAGAACAAACTGGTGATTGCCAGAGGGTTGGGAGTTGCGGGGCTGGATGAAAAAAGTGAAGGGATGAAGAAGTACAAACTTCTTGTTATGAAACAGTCCTGGGGATTTAGAATATAGTATAGGATATATAGGCAATATTATTGTAATGGTTGTCTGTAGTACCAGATGGATGCTAGAGTAATTGGGGGAATCACTTCATGGATTGTATAAATGTCTAACTTTTTTAAATTTAAGAAATAAAAAATGAAAACAAAGAACATATTGATGATACAATACAGTATCTATTGTTTACATGGAATAACCCTGAAGAGTCACCATCTTCTCAATTTTGAGCTATTTTGCCCATCATGACTTACATCTATCCTGGGAAGAATGTGTATTGAGTATAAGGAATGTAGAAATGAAAAAGATAAAACTGTTCTTGAAGACAATATATACTCATAAGATCAATGAACAAAGTCAAGCATGTTCTTTGGAAACAAAATTATTTAATGTTGTAGAATGGCTATATAACTGTCTCTGTGTAGACTGAGGACTTACCCCTTTAAGGCTGGGTATCGTGAACCAGCTCTTCTTGGTTGTAGTAACAAAACTATACCATTCTTTAAAATAATTTTCTAGAACTGAGCATTCCAGAACAATTAGCTAACAGCAGGGTCTTGTTAAATTAGTAAAAACAAGATGGAAATTTCCTTAGAAATCAGTGCCTTACGGTGCTTCCTAGAGTGTCTGTATGCATTAGTGTTAATTAAGAAATAAAAGAGTGGTATCAGATGTAAATAGACTGTACGCAATAGTCCCTGGTTCACTGCAGAGTTTCAAAATGAGCATTCAATTGCTTCAATTCCAGATTTCTAGGGAATTTCTTGAAAATTTCATTTCCATTGGCTAACGTAGGTATACAGTTTAACAAGCCAAAATATGAAGTCGAAATTGGTATCATTTAGGGCTACACTAAAATAATTAAAGAAAAACCGAATTTCAACATGTCCTTTTAAATTCTAGTTTCAAAAGTAAGAATTCGGCATGTGATAAAGTTATCAACATAAAATTATTGTCAACTTAGTAATTATCATTATGCGGTTTTTATTATGACTAGTGTACATTCCAGAAACCTTCAATTCTATAGAAAGAAAGTCTGTGCTGTTGGAAACAGAAAGTTGTTTCATGTCTATTACCTCTGGGTGCTAGAGGCACCCTCACATGTGAGAAAGAAAAACAAGAAATAAAAGAGTAAGAAAAAAAGTTAATAATAAGGAAAAGTGAAGGTAGGCAAATGATGCTGCAGGGAGCAATTGAACTAAGAAAAAGAAAAGACCAGAATACTGGAAAGACTGAAAAGGCAAAAAGGGGAGAAAATAAGCTTTCAGCTTTAAAGATGTGAAAAGGGAGAATTTTTAAAAATTGATTTTCTAGAGATAAAACTTTTTTGTAATATATAAGAGCTTTCAAACAGGATATTTGAGTCTTCTGCAAAACAAAAATAATATTAAAACTCAAGCATTTGTGAAACAGAAATAATCACTTCTGGTATGAAATCACTTGTGTTATTTTACAAATTCAACTTCAAAAGTCTCTTGAATACTGTAATAATTTAAATGCAATATGTATTCACTGCCTGCAAAGTTATTTATACTAACAATGCATATTTAGCAATTTCAACAGTTGATTTCTTTTTTTAAAAAGTGAATAAGAAAAGCAATCTCTATTAATTATAAATAGTAAATGGGGGAAAATCGATCAATTGCAATTAACATATTCAAATAGCACCATACTGATCATAATGCTTTACTCATATTTAGATAATAAATTTGAATAAATAATAATATTTTCCAATTAAATGTAAAATATGTATCCATGCTTTAATCTAGCCATGTGAGATATTCACTTTGAAAATAATTAAATTTTAAGAATGACAAAAATTTGATGAAACAATCAAATATATCTCATTCTTTGGATATTTAGAGTCCTCTAGAACACTAAACAAAAAGTTAATTTGGTTTAGTTAGAATTTTCACAAAGAAAATTACATAATTTTTTGCCAAAACTGCTGTTTTAAGTTGTATAAAACCCAGTTCTATAACTCCAACTAAACTATAATCACCTTGAAAGTGAGAATTAGATTATACTTACTTCAGAATAAGCAATACATAATGCAATTTCTGGCACTCAACAAGCACTTGATAGACATTTGATGAAAGAATTTATTTTATAACTTGAGTCAATTATTTAAAAAAAAAAAGAAAAATATCTAACACTTGTACTATATATTTAACTGCCTGTGCATTTGTGTCAAGTGAAAGAAAATACCAATGCTTATAAATTTGCCCAACCTACAAAGAAATTAAAAATATTTGGTAACATATTACAGCAGTTATGAAGCAATACTGACTCCCTAAAGTGAAATTTGTTACTCTGGCCCAGTGAGATCAGCTGCAATAAGGAGAAGAAAGGGATGATAAAGAGGAGAACAAACATTCTATATGCCGGGAACTTGGTAAAAGCACACTTTGCATTTAAATTTTCCACAGGGCTGTCCCTCTGGAAACCACTGCAAGCTCAATAGGGTAGCCCATTTTCAGATTCTGTGCCTCTCAGAATATTAAGTGGATGAATGTATAGATAACAAGAACTATTTCTGTTTTTTTTTTTTCTTTTAACCCTATTTCCCTTCCTTTTCTGTAGGCTTCTGAACAAATAAATCTTGTCTCATCTTAACAGAAAGAAATGTATATATGGGGAATATTCTTACATGTAATCATTTTATTCTTCTAGAATAACCAAGCCTTGTATCAATTTTTAATAAATATATTACTTATTTGTTTTACATTCAAAGATAAAATCATGTTGGGGGAAAAAAATGTTACTTTTAGGTAGATTTTCTGCCAAACAAAAATAGAATACTTGTAAAGCCGAAACTCCTTGCCATTTGCAAATATTTTTAAATGTTTTGCCTTAATGGTCATATATTTCGTTGTATATCTTTCTACCCCCTCAAGTCTATGCTATTGATAACACGGTGTTGTTACATTCTTATATTCATTGATAGAGAAATATTTGTTTGCACTCTATCATTTTAATACATTAATTTTAGATAACCAATAGGTCTTACCTTGAAAAATGTCATAGTTGCACCATCCTCCACCGCGCCGTACTCTATCTTGGTTTGTTTAGCTAAATCATCGGCAGAGTCAATAGGGGATTCCATCCGCTCCACTGTCAGAAAGGCGGCTAAGTTAGCAGTATACGAAGAAATGATGATAAGTGTGAAAAACCACCAAATGCCTCCCACTATCCTGGTGGACAGCGCTTTGGGCATGAGCTCAGAACCTAACAGAGATTTGGGGGAAAAGGTGAAACGAATACAGAGAATTTGGTCAGCAGTCAGGTACTTTTGGTGACAGTGGCAGAATGGAATCACTGTGTAATAAAAACTTAAATCATAGATTTACATATTGCTTTAGAAAGCAGCAACAATCATTGGGAGAGCAGAGGGTAATTTCAGTTAATAAGCAGTCTCTTAGGACACTTGTGGTTAAGTATAGTGACAGGAGACTCAAATTCTACTGGAGACAGTGCAAAGTAACAATTAAATATTAATGAGTGAAAAACCTTTATGCAAACAGCATTAGAAGGAGAAAACAAATCTTTCTAGTTTATAAACCACATGTATAGTTTTTCATTTCCTTGTTAGAAATGTGGGTTTTAGAAGAAATGATTTAACGTATGTTCGGATCCATTGTTTAGAAAGTTTTACATAAAGTTTTATTTTTCATGTTCATGAAGCTCTAAACTTTTGTTCATCTTGCCATTTAAAAAAGTCACGTTGTATAAAATAATTTCAATACCCATGTTTCTTGAGATGTGTGACTTTAGTCCAGTTTTTATTTCAAAATAGGGTAGTAAATTATTTGCTATGTATAAACTAATGTCTCCTATCACTATAGTTGGCTTTAACGAGGTATATCAAAATAAGTAGTTAAATTGTCACAAATTTATTTTCACACACATATATATATTTCATAAATATATTAAATATATGGCTGGAGTTGCCTGCTCATGGTATTAATAAGAGAATGGGATCTGAATTATATTTTACTTTTTATTATTATTAATTTTAATTGATTTAGATTATAAAATAAAATCCTAACAATTTTAAAAATCAAGTCTAATAGTTTTACCACATTATTTACATTATATACATTATTTACATTCTTAATGTTGAAGTTAATACATATCAGCAGGTATTATTTTTTATTAAAAAGTATACTAAATTCATGGATATATATAATATATTACTGTTCACTTTTTATCATTTTGAATCTATAATCAAGAAAGCATTGGATACAAATTACTTAATTTTTAATTGAGTTTGAGTAAAATGGAATGAAGCAAAGATGGACGTCATTTGCTGATTTATTTTATAATCATATATTTAATGTAATCACTGATGCAGTAAGGTAACATATCTTTAGATAGAGTGAAAAATGCAACAAATTATGCATGTTAACATTGAAAAGAAGTGGTATTATGACTGGAATATATCAAAGCAGCCCATCTTACACTACAGGTCATCTTACTCTTGCAATTTCAAACAAACAAACAAAATTTTAAAAAGTAGACAGACTTGGACATGACAGCCAACTCCAGCTCCAGACTCTGCCTACCGCTCTGTAAGGCAAAAAAAAAAAAAAAACCAGAAAAGTACCTTTCTGATGTAGTTGCTCCTAGGCCCTGTCAGACACACACTGGACACTGAAACACTAAAATCCTCCCAAGATGATCAGCAGCTTAGGCTGCCCATTCACTTTTTTTTTTTTTTTTTTTAACAACACCACCAATAGAATCAAACAAGACTGGGAGAGAAAAGAACAGTAGAGACATTCGACAAAAATGGCCCAATTACCACAAGTTCATATCTTACCCAAGGACTTAACGCGAGTACCTCCTAGGCTTGTGAATCAGAGCCTGGTTAGGGGCTGACTGTCATGTACTCAAGGTAACGTCATGTCCAGCACTATATCCCACTAATTCCTGGGGAGCTGGGCATCAGCCAGAATAGTATGGGTTCCTCTTTCATGTATCCACCAGCAGTGAAGTAGTTATATGGCAAAGCAAATGTATACTTGAATTTTTCATTGCTTGCATTACTTGTAATCATTTTCAGAGATATCAGATATAGTTTTATTTCTAATTGCTAGATTTTAGAGATATCAAGTTCATCTTACGAGTATATAAATTCTCAAAACCTCTAAATATTTTAGAAATATAAGTAAAAAAAAGTTTTATTTTTCAAAATAGTAGCAAAAAAACCACATTGTTTTGGTCAGAATCTTATTATGAAGATAATGTACTCCAGGGTATTAAAGTTAGTTATTAGCAAGTGAATAGCAGTTTGCCTTTTGATTGTATTACCCAATGCTACTTATAAGGTATGTTTGTCTCATATGATAGGCTTTTATTCACTTTTAATATTTTGAAAGAATTACAATATTGTCTTCCAAGTATACCATAAGCCTATAGAAAAAAAAACAAAACATTGGACCCAAAATGTAGAAGTGGGAAAATACAACTACTGACTATTCATTTTATCCAGAAAGTGATGCCACAAC